CGAGGCCAGAAGGGCTAATTTAAATTTAAACAAAAGAATATTAATCTGGCAGCCATTTATGAAAGTGGTCTATGAGTGTTGAGAGAATGATCTACTTTAATGTTTTTACTCAAAAACTTTATAAATTATCAATTCAAGCACCTCCATCCTGTTCTTTTGTAGGAGCTGAAGATCTCAAGCAAGGCCAGAAGGGCTAATTTAAATTTAAACAAAAGAATATTAATCTGGCAGCCATTTATGAAAGTAGTCTATGAGTGTTGAGAGAATGATCTACTTTAATGTTTTTACTCAAAAACTTTATAAATTATCAATTCAAGCACCTCCATCCTGTTCTTTTCTAGGAGCTGAAGATGCCATCAATCACTGAAGCAATAAACTGGCCTCCAGTGATAAAAAGATTGTTGAGGGTGACAAGACGACCTCTTATGTTTGACGGAGCTGTTTCAGCAATATATACTGGGACGGTCACTGACGCTCCCCCTGTGAAAAACAATACAGAATATTTGAGGGGGCTCTGTGATTCATTTTAAATTTGCACCCTTAAATGTCAAACATATACCTCTTTGAAGTTGACCATATCTGTTTCAAGGTGAACAATGACACTGATGGAACAACAAGTACAGTCAAACTGTATTTAGCTGTCACCCACATGTAATGGCAGGGTAACCATTAAATACAAGTTAACAGCTTAATACAGTATACAGAATACGTATGATGCACGATCCTCACAGTAGAGAGCGCTATTTATGCAATTATAGCGAAAATCAGACCTGAAAATAATCAGGCCTGTTTATTACGAATCAACTTAACGGCCTGCTCCCAGTTGGCTTGTTAGCTCAATTGGTAGAGCGCTGCAGTAGTATCGCAGAGTTCAGTGGTTTGAATCCTGTACATGCTTGATTTTTTTCAGGTCTGATTTTTGCTATTGCATAAATAACACTCTCTACTGTGAGGATCGTGCATCATATGTATCTATAACCGCAGTTCAAAATATCGGAACTTCATATGTTCACTGTACCCAGTATACAGAATGTTGGTGTTATAAAATATGATTCAAACACCATCATATCCTAAAAATGGCCTCTTCATGTACATAAACACTCTCAAAAATACTACTTACATTGATTTCAAGAGAAAAATATGGATTAAATTTACTTGAAAGATTATTTTTTGTTTAATTTGAGTGGTTCTAATAAAAGAGCAGCAGTAACCAGCAGCAGTCCTGCCCATGTGACCATTTATGATAAGTGTAAGACAATACAAACAGGCCATTGGGACTCAGCAAAGGGTGACAATAAACATATAATAGAGGTATAAAAATTACAGTTACTGTAATAAAGGGGAAAAATTTTGGGACAACCAAAAACTGACTGCATCCCACGGGGGACCACTTGATACAGTTCTGCTTAATAAAGATTCAGCTGTATCAACAACTTTTAACAGATGACACAATGAAATGGAAACATGACATTGCCTTTAAGTTGGCTGAACACAGTTTTTTATACTGATGTTTCTTTCACCATTTTCTCTAAAACCCTTGATCTCTCAGTCGCCAAAACTGGTAGAAAGCAAGTTAACAACACAAACTTTGTTTTTTTGATAGTTAAGCTGACATATGTGCTGTTGCCATGGCAACATGAATAAATATAAACAGGCCTTTAAAATCGGTTTTGTTCATTTGTAGAAATTCTAGTCATTAGTTTTTCTTTATAATTTGCATGCAAC